AAGAAAAACTCAAGGCCTGTCTGTATTCTTTGACTAATCTGCGTAAGTGGAAAAGAGACCAGAAGCATGGGAAGATAGAAGAGAGAAAGAAGGAAATGAGATCAGAGGGCCCAGGTGGAGAACAAATGTAACTTCTCAAGACATTTCAATGACACAGATACATCTGTATGCCACTTCCAAAAAAACATTTGGATGTGGTACTCAGGAACATGATTTAGCGGAGGGTTGTTAGAGTTGGGGTAGTATGGATAGGTCGTGGTTGGACTTGATGATCTTTAGTGTCTTTTCCAACCTGAGTGATTCTATGATTCTATTCCTTTCCTATCAGTTTTCTGAAAGAATGATGTTTTTTGAGAACACAGTGACTGAAAATGGCCATATTTATGATGATCACGTTATGATAAAGGAGCTGCTGCCAAAGTCTCTTTGCTTGTATAAATGTAGATGACATGGTACTATAAGCACACTTAAGAATGAGTCAGCAGAGAAGAAAATACTTAAAGAGGTGATTTTCCAGAGATGTAAGTTAACCCTATCTAAAACAGCTTGTTGAAAAACCTGTTTTCAAGTGTGATTCAGATATGCTTGCAGACACACTTCAGTTCTGAAAACAGTAAGACAGTGAGGTTTCAGGTATATTTATTGTTGCCCAATATACAGCATTTCATAATCTGCAATAAAATTACTAAAGGATCCTGTAGCATACACCAAGTTGCAAATACCTCCAAAATGAAAGGCGATCTGATTTGGAAGTACAGTGTGATTGCATCAGCCAAGTGAGAAGCTGCTGGAGATGATCCTCAGCCCTGAGTCAGCAGAGCATGGTGTGGTACCTGCTGTGCTGGAAGTGGTGCACAGCTTCCTTGCCTCAACAGGAGCCTTAAGAAGCATTCTGGCTGAGAAATTGCTCTTGACACCTACTCCCTCTGTTTCCATACCTCCTCAGAGGATGCAGCTGTCTCCCTTTGGGGGAACCCTCCCTACTCTGCCTCGAATGATATGCATGTGTTTTTGTCTAGAATTTGTGGGGATCATGCAAAATGAATTTGTGAAGACAAGGGAAAAATGGATATGTGTTCATGTTCCATGTGCATTATGGCACCCAATGTAACAAATCTATGTACTAGAAAGACTAAAGATCTTAGAAATTAAACTGCTGGAAACTGTACTAATGCTACTTTCCTATTGCAGACTGTTGCATGATCATTTCACATTTTACAAAGCAGTTTTCTCTGAGTTGCTTAACACATCTGCTTGGTGGATTATAGGATAAGTAGGGAAGGGAGAAGCAGCCGTAATTTTTACTCATGAGACCACAAGGGATCAAAACCAGCTGTTCTTACAGTAGTGTGAACAAAGCTGTAATCCTCAGCTGCTTGCTCTTTAGTACCCAGGATGGGAGTATCCACAGTGCCATGGTTTATTTTCTCACAGCACTGCGTCAGTGAGAAAAGTCTCCATCCAGCAAGTCTGGTACAATACTTGCTGATGGAAAGAGGACAGCTGCTGTATGCTCATTGCTCCAAGGGAAATGTAATCTATGAAAGAAGACCGCATCTGGGGATCTCAGCATTTCAAAAGGCACCAAAGGACTCTGAACGCTGCCATTTAAGAAAAGATGTATGAAATAATGAATAATGAAAACTTCTCTCTTTTTTTTTTTTTCCAGCCTCTTGCTGGTTTTGCTGGAAGCCCCTGAGTATGTGAGATAGCAAAATGGGGTGATGACAGTGCCAGACTGTGAATGGAGGAGTCCAGGCACAATGTCACTAACCTACAGAGTGCACTGTTTAATAGTGGCATGAAAGATGCTTTGTGAGCCAGTAGAAAAGCTGAACAGGGACTGGATGAGCACAAAAGCTGACTCTAGCTATATATATCTCAACACTGCCTACATAGGGAGATGTCATCACGCTGAACATTACAGCCTCAAATGATTTCTTAAAACCACAAAGTCGGCAACTGTTCATTTTCTGCATATTTCTCCCACATCAGTGGAAAATACATAGGAAGGCAAACAAATACCATTTAAAGTAGGAATTCTTATAGAAATAACTTTTTTTTTTTTTTTAACTGCTTGAATGATCAGGACATGCTTCAAGGGTTACGTTCACCCCATTTTTATGTACTTTGATGCATTTCTCTCCTCTTTGCATTTAGAAACTTGAACATTTTCTGGTGTAAGTTTGCATCTTTGCAGCACAATTTGTAGCATTTCTGCACAGAATGCTGAAATTTTGTCTTATTACTTCTCAGGTCTAAACTGTAATGTAATTAAAGACTGAAATGTAAGGCAAACCATGATAATAAAGTAGATATACGAAGTCATTAGTACCTAGCCTTCATAGAGCAGAGTGCACAAACACAGCATGGTCATTCACCTCATCTCCTCTTGGCACTGCAGTGCCCTTGAGATTTGAATTTATATTAATGCAGCTCTGAAAACATTTGAATATTTCTTGGTTTTGTTGGCCCTTTGACTGCCTCCCAGAAGCTCCTAGGAAAAAAGCCAGGAGAAGGCTACGATTTCTCTGAGCCCACTCCCAGTTGTCATACTTTGATGGGAAGAGAGCAGTGATCTTGATGGAGTGAGGCTGGTGGCCAAAACTGGCTGCATCTACCATACCAGATTGTCTGGCACTGCTGTGCAGTCCCCTCCTATTGCTGTGGGAGCTTTGGGAAAGAAAGCAGGCAGAGCTGAACCAGGTTAGCCAGTTTGTCAAGCCAGATCTACTTTGTTGGTTTGAGATTTGGCACTTCTTTACTAAGTAAATTAGTATTATATCATGTTTAGGCCATATTTAGGAGCTAAATGGTCTTAGAAACACTATAGGCAGAGATGTTTCATGATATGCTTGTGCTTAACTGATGCATATTTTTGAGTTTATGTTAAATTACTAGCACCAAAATATTCAGCCCTATCCTTATGCTGCCTTTGTGATCCTTATCACAATCAATCCCAATAAAAAATTTCCCATTTTTTATAACTCCGTGGATGAAAGAAAAAATTCAGGCCGTACTACACAGCTGGAAACCTAGATATCTTTCTTCATGTTTTCTTTATCACTGTAAAAATACCTCACTGCTCTTTGCACTTCTTCCCTTGCTTGTGTTAACTTGGCGAGAGATCTTCATCACAGTCACTCTTTTATAGGCAGGAAGGTGTTACTGAGAGTATTATTTAAAGTGGTTTGCTTAGACTCATTCCCAGAGAGTTGGTTGCAGTGCTACGAATAGAAAACAGATATTTGTATTTTTTTACGGACAAGTACTACCACAGAAATTACAACACAACTTATAGGCCTGATGTTGAAAATACTGGATTGCTGATATGTAACAGGTGTTGTGCAATTGAGATCAGAAATTAGCTAGATTTTAGCTTGGGAAATCTTGGCATGCTAAAAATTGCTATTGCAAGCCCTACAAAAAAGTATTGTCTGGAGAGAACTTGAGAAAAAGACGATTATTTCCTCTTGTGACAAAACTGATGATGCTCAAGAAGATGTCACTATGCCTATTTCAACTTATCTAGGCAAACTGCTAGTCTGTAAGGTGGAAAAAAATGAATGCAAAAACAGACAGTATGATGCCATGCTTTAGACTGTCAAGACAGAGAAGAAAGTCTTGGTAACACTTGGTAAACAATTTTGTTTTACAGCAGGTTGATTGACATGGCTTTTGAGACTACTTAGGATTTTCAAACCTTACCAGTAGACCCTGGAGATAGTTTAATAGAGAGAACCAGAATATGGCATTGCACAGACACCACCTTCTTCTATTTGGGATATATTTAAAGAGGAGTCAGTTTCTTCTGTTTTCTATAATGCACTCAAAAGAATGTCACTTGACTGAAGCTTTCCCTGAAGATTATTTAACAGAAGTAGACCTGTGAATAGAAAGGGAAAGCATTATTGCATTCTTCTAAAAACAGAACAGAACACATCGAAAAACAATGAAGGCAGTTAGGTTATTCAGAATTTAACTGTTATCTTAGCTCTGCACTTACAGGAGTGCCAAATCCTTTAGTACACTTTCTTGTCTCAACTATACTGCATCCCAAGTAAAAAAAACTTGAAAGTGAATCAGGGAAGCACAAATCTATTCAGAAAAGAATGTGGATTAACATGAACAACACGAAGAACATGAAATGTTTCGGGTTTTTTTCTAAAAGTTATTTAAGAACAGGTCAGCTTAACAGGGAGATGTAAGTCTAAAAACTATTATTTTTGCCCACATTACAGAATGGTGTTAACCAAACTATGCAGTTTTGTGCTGATCTCATTAACAAGCATGAAGGGACAAAAGGCACTTTGTCATTTCCAGTGAAGCAGCTAATGCAAAGCAGCAGTTCTGTGAGTTTTATGGGTCTGTGAAGGCTGGAGGCTAACGATTGTCCCTGCTGGGTTGCCTGACACCTTGAGTCAGATCAGCGTGTTCACAGATCAAGTGGAAATGAGACATAAGCAAAGAGCAATAAAATAAAACGAACTGTAATATTAATGAGGAGAGGGAAAGAAGTAGCAGGTGAGCTTGGAAGTGATTTCTCCTTAAATACCAACAAAATACGAGTTGAATTCTGAAAGCTGAGAAATTCTAAGAACAGAATCTTGTTTGAGCAAACTGATGTTTCCAGAAATCTTGGTAATGGGTTTTACAGGTTTCATATAATTGCTCTCTGTCTGGGAAAGCAGCCATGAATTTGTGACTGATTGGAAATCCAGATGCAAAATTGAGCCATTTTTTTGCAACTAGACTCCAGTGAATGTAGTGAACAGTTAAGGGAAAGTACAAAGAGTTCCTGAGGGAACATTTGGAGAGGGAGGAGTGTAAACCATTTCTCCATTTCAGGAAGAAAGAATGTCACTAGGAATTAAAATAATCTTACTCACAATGAGAAATAGAATTATAAGCAAGAACTGTAGCTGAGGAGATTTGCCATTTACTTTTTTTCCTAAAGAAACACAAAAACTTGTGTTTGTCTCAAGAATGGAAATGAATATGGGAACATTTACTACAATGTTATTAGCTGCTGAGCTTGCCTTTGGAGTGCTACAGTGAATTCAAATGGAGATATCCTTTCAAACATCCTGCAGGAAGGAACACTTCTACAGCCTTGTGACCAGAACTGCATGGCACCAAGGCAAAGAAAGAGCAGGGGGTGGCAGACTGTTTCCTCTGGCTGCTAACAAGCCAGACCTGCCACTCCAGTCGTCTCCTATAGTTATGTATATTTTCAATATATACAAACGATGTGGTCACAAGTGACAAAAGAACAAAGGAAAATCTTTATGGTGAAAAGAACAATGTCACGATGGAGATCCAACTCAGAGTGAAAGTATGGTCTAATATTAGATATGGAGGCTGGTGGCCATGCATGTGGCAGTGGGGTTGGAGCTTGATGATCCTTGAGGTCCCTTCCAACCCGAGCCATTCCATGGTTCTATGATTTTTTTTTTTTTAATTAAAAATACTTTAAATTAAAAAGAATTAAGTTAAACAAATTTAGTTGTGTGTAATTTTTTGCTTTTGCTTTTAGAGATTCCTCTTCAGTGACCAATATCTTTGACCCTTTCAGGAGACTGTGACACCAATTGCCTTTAAATGACTTGGGAGAGAAAAACACACCCTTGGAGCTTCATGGCTGCTCATATGGATTATTCTGAAGATTACAGGCTGCTGTGATTGTCTACCAGAAACAAAAGTGTGTCTTTGAAGAGTGAAAGGCTTGGCTGACATCTGCAGAGCCCACTAAGCTATGTAACTTTGCAAGTCCTTCAGTGTTTTGCAGTGTTTTCTATTATCTCCACTTCTTATCTCTTGTACTGAAGTATTTCAAATATCTCTTGTGCTTCTGTTGCAAAGTAATACCCTATGTTAAGTGGGTAGGGGATAACTACTCCAGGACAGGGAAGCAGTAACCTAATCCTTACCTGTGATGGGAGCAGAAGCAGAAATTCCTGCTTACCATTCCCCTTTGTCCTTGTTGTTACTTCAACTTTCTGCTCTTGCAATAAGATGCACCCCAGGTCATGGTCTGACTGCCTTCCTCCCAGTTTCCATTTCTCTTGGTGGCATCAACAGAGGAGGATATGTTGGGGTTAGCAGGGAGAACAGAGATTTCTCCCAAGGAGAGATGGTGGGTTTAATGGCTAATGGATTGGGACATTAAATGTGTCAGTGGGAGGAGGCATAAGTGCCCATGGAGAGAGGACGGAGGAGGTGACCTAGAGCTTGGAAACACCTAGGAAAGTAAGAGAAAGGACCTTATTCTCATCCAGATTCTATTTTTCTATTTTACTTCTAGAAAGTTCTGAAATAGTACTGCCCCTTCCCATTTGCCCATGCCATCCCTACAGCTTCCTTCATATGGACATATTCCCTTGCTCGTTTTTCCTAAAGCCTTATCTACCATGTCCACATAACCTTTGTCACACAGGTATGCTGACTGCAGTGCTGAGGTCTGGTTCTGTCTATGTGGCTAAGGGGTATGAAGCAGGGTGGGGAATTGTCCCATCAATCCTGATGGAACAGCAGAAGGTAACCAGCTGTCTGGTGTGAAGTTGTTACAGGTATGTGCTGTATGTAGTAGCACTCATGCACAATAATTTGGTGCAATTAGTTGTAAATCAAAATCTCAGTTCAATGGAGATGCAATTATGAGACTTTTACTTTCCTTATCAAGTTGTCATGCATGTAAATAACATCAGTTTGTGGTAGAACCATCAAAGAAGTTAATTTGCCTATCATTATGAATGTTATAGGGAGCATGTAATCAGAGTAGCTATAGCCTTGATACGTAACTATTGTCCAGGAGAAACTTTCTCTTGTAAGCCAGCAAACAAGGCTTCTGTAAAATAGTTTCAGCTGTGTTGTGCTTCTCCTCCTCTTCCTTTGCTCCATTAGCTAACAAATCCTCAGAGAATTGCACTTGAGACAAGTTTCTTCATCAACTACATGAGTCAAAGGGTGGATGGATGTGTCTCCAAAAGGCTGACAGCAAGAGGAGGTGCCTTCTGAAACAAAACAATCATTATGACAATTATATGTCACGGCTACTTTACAAAATAGTGTTAAAATCAGGCAAAGTTTTATTGCAGGAAGAGTGATGTAAGCTTAGAAGTATCATATCTTCATAATAAAAAAAGAGTCTGGGTTCCTAAGTCCATCAGTGTCACAGGTGAGATAAGAGATCTAGCAGTGATAGATGACCCAAGGTAACATGGTGTACATCACAATAACATTTTGTTACAGTAACAGCAGAGAAAATAATCTGTGAATCCATATGCACTGTGAACAAGAGCTGCTGTGAGCATTAACCTTTGTAGCTGATTTTAGTCATCTATGGCCTGATTATGAAAATTCCAGTCTTTTGCAATACACTTGCAAATAGCAGGCTAGGCATGAGAATGCTGATATAAGTTGATTATACTTTATCCTATCTTGTGACCCTTGACCTATCCAAAGTAACTATCAGATGACCTTTCTTGTTTTGTTTCATCAGCAAAGAAGATAGGCTGTTTTAATGAGCCTTTAATAAGCAGCTTTGTGCCCCAGTTGGGATTTGGGAGGGTGGTTCAAAATATCATTAAAGGTGGGAATGTATTTAATCTAACTGCAGGTACAGAAATTTCCTCAGTGTGAGTCCAACAAGGTCCCTGAGGCTCCCTCTATAGGAAATAGAGAATAATCCCATCAACCTTACATTTGCAAGTGAGATCAGCAGTCCTTTAATACTGTCTGTTTTTCTCTATTAGGCGGAGAGATTATTAACAACTTCCATCAAGATAATAACATCATTGCAAATTAATTCCACTAGGTATGTCCAAGAACAAAGGCAAACTGAGCTACAATTGTGTGCCATCTCAGTATGGAGCATTGAACAGTGCTGCTGAAATGGCCTGCCAAAATGGCTGACCATTGAAAAGTAGTCTAAAATTGAACCATATCAAAATAAAAGTGGAACTGAGGAGAAGCCAAGAGCTTGAAGCAGATGTAGCTCATACTTGGGCCACCCTTCAGCACCCCAAAGAAGGGTAACTCATTCATGCTGCTGTTTCACAGCCAAACTTTTACTGACAAATGGTTGAAGTTGGTAAATGAGCACAAATCCTAGAATCACCCGCATGTATTTTTTTTAATAATTTGTGTGCGCGTGTGGTAAACATAAAACACTCTTCATCCATCTAATAAAAGGAGAATTTGCCTTATCTTTTTTAAATTATTATTTATTTTTCTTGATAGAGATAACAAGATCGACGTACTTGCAATGGTCTACGAGGATATCAGATCTTGCAGCATTTCCTTGTCAGGCCCACGCAGTGCTGTTCCCCTTAATGATGTGCTCATGAAGGGGATCTCTGCATCTCTTCACATTTCAGATCACCACACCCCCTGGACTTACACTGAAGCCTTCTCAAGGGAGTTATCAATACAGCACAATACTCCTCCAGCTCTGAAACGGCCTGATGGAGAATAGGGGGAAATGGCTAAGATTACATCATGGCTCCAAGCTATCTGAATCCCACAAATCTGGAAAGCAAATGTTGATCTCAGGAAAACATTCATGTCAACCATTGTTAAGTGAAAGCCTGGGAGAAAAACGAACAAATACAATGCATTTCTTTCTAAATACTGTTGATCTGCTAAGAATAAATGTTCTAAAAATGCTCTCGTGAAAGAATAGCGAGTATAACTGATTTTTGTTCAAGCACATTTATGAGCATGAGTAACTATTCATTTCCTAATTACTTCCTCTCTTGCCAGTACCTAGTAAACCTTTCTAAGCATCTGTTTGTCTTGTTGACATTTGATCTGTTCATTGAGAACAAGAGATTTAACATTTTTGTTTGCAGGGTATATATGAAAGCCCACATCAATGAATTACTACGAAGGAAATGTTCCAATTTGTCTACAGAAGTGTCAGTTGAATGAAATATTTTGCCTTGCTAAAGGCATTACAGGTTTTGGACACAAGCAATGGGGATGAAACTTTGTTCATAGGGAAGTGATATAATATACCATAATGCCCAGAGTATGTCATTCTTTGTCTTCATAATGAATTTAAGTATAACACTATTAGTTTCTTAGGTAAAGATAGACAAAATGAATTTTTAGGTTCTCTTTCCATCTTGCGCAGTACATCAGAAGTCATTTACCTTCTATATTTAACACAGACATATTCTTTTCTTGCACAGAGAAGGTTAATGGATAATTTCAATAGTAAGTGACATCCCTGACATTTTCCTCAGCCAGGGACTCTTTAAGATTCTTCTACAAGTGTTCTCAGCTAAGTCTGCCTGCATGCTTCCTGATAGGCATAGCATAGCAGGCTGCATCTTCCGCAACTTTTCTGCTGACCATTGCTCTTGTAAGTGGTGACACCTGTGAGTCAGAGCTTCAAGCATGTTACAATCAGTTCTCTCATCATTACCAAGATACACAAAGTCCCACGGGCAGCTGTTTTGTGAGCTCACCTCAGCTATTTCCTGGTTTTACCTTTCTCTGTCTCCTCCTGTCCAGGTTTGATCTTTGCATGAGTTTATTCTTAGTACAAGTTTTCTCCTCCTTTCAGTCCCTTTTTGAGAATATGATGTTGGTTCTTCTCTGGTCCAGGAGGACCTGAAGTAAGCAGTTAAAATGAGTTCAACAAGGCTCTCCATCCCCTAGGTCTCCTTGTGGTCTCGGTTCTTAACTAGACTGCTCTACCTGGAACAAATATGTGTCCTGCCCTGGTCAATCAGGAATTCACTAGAGTTCAAGATCTGAGCTGCAGAAATTCTCTTACAATAACATTTTACCGTCCTACAGGAATCACTTTGTGTCCATGAACTGTCTTGGATCATAGAACCATAGAATTGTTAAGAATGGAAGAAACCCTGAAGATCACCTAGCCACCTGCAGTGGGCAGGGATACCTTCCATTAGACCAGTTTGCTCAGGGCCCCATCCAACCTGGCCTTGAACACTTTCAGGAATGGGGCATCCACAGATTCTCGAGACTACCTGCACCAGTGCCTCACTAACATCATGGTGAAGAATTCCTTCCAAGTATCTAATCTAATCCTACCCTCTTTTAGTTGAAAACCATTACTCCTTGTCCTATCACTAATAAAATCATAGAATGAAGTCGTGTTGCATTGATAAGATGTTCATCAGCTAACGCTACCAGGCGTTTCCAATGAATATCACAAAAATATATATTTTAAAAGACTGTGTTGTGAAAATAATTTTTTTCCCTTTAAATACTGCATCCTCTTTCAGGTGAAATTTCTTCATTGTATTTTTCCTCTTTTCATGATGTTTTCTTCCAATGCCTGTCATCCATCAAATGTAACTGATTTGTCTACAGCAATGAAATTCTCTTTTTCCATATTTCAAGATGAGGTTAGAGTTCTGGAATGTTTCTTCCAAACCATTTCTCATGATACATATTTTCACTTCCAGCTATAAAATCACATGATCCTAATTATTCTCAAGTTAGGAATTTAGAATTGTGGGCGTTTTCTCCTTAGAGATTTTTAAGACCAGATCATGGAATGTCTCACAGAATGTGCTAATTATATGGATAGTTTTCTACAACATCACTGTGTAAGCTGAGAGTGAAAGACGTTCCTGAGTCTCAAAAGAGTAGGTCTTCACAAAATAGTGACACTACTCAAGATTACCTAGTGCATAAAATGCACAGCCTTTGTATTGCTCTGTTCCTTCATTTAGACTTAGCTTTAAACAACTCTGGGAGATGTACATTGCTTGTGACGGAAGACTTGATGAGTAGATAGAACCTTCCCCACACTCCAGCTGATGTGATTCTCTTTTCTCCTTACCTGAAGGCACCATTGCTGTTGAATTCAAATCTAGTAATCTAACTTTGCATCATTGTTACTTGGAACACCCTCCAGCCTGAGAATCCTCTACAGCCACCTTCAAAGTGCTTGCTGCAACTTTGAAGTCACTGTAAGTCAGAGGAGCCAGCTGGTAGGGAAATCTCACTCTTTATCCCCTTTCCCTTTACATCAGGTGGTAGAAAGCCAATTTTTCACCTTGCGCAAGTCATCACAAGGCTGTTGATGACAGAGAAATTATGTGTTCAAATTCACATGACTTCTCCTGAGAGCAACTGGAAATAACAGAAAAATATCCAAGGGATGCTCAGAGTTGATGGTTTATTTATGTTAAGTAGTTCCTTATTCCCATCTTCCTACAAATATAGAAAAATAGCTTATTAAAACTTAAAAGAACACCTGATCATCTTCTCTTTCCCAGCTTCTTGCCTTCCCAGACAGCTTGTAATTTGTCTAAACTTTACAAGCTATTTATTTGTCTACCATAATAAGTATGGGAGATTTCCTGTCCCCACTGGTCTTTGTACATGTATGATTTTGTTTGCTTGTTTTAGCTCCAGCCCTTTAACAGATGTACAAAGCAGTTTGAGCCTAAAATCAGCGAGGAGAATATCACTGCTGTTGAACTTCCAGGCTGTCAGCTTCAGTCCCTCATGTTCTGTGAGTCTGTCTTTGTAAACTCTCCTCTACCTTTTAGATTGCTCCTCATTCACAAGTCTTGGAAAGCTGTGTGAGATAAACGGATTTCCAAAGCTGAGCACAGAGATATGACACAGTGAAGTCACACACACAAGACTGTTCTTTTGAAGGAATCAATGATTCCTACCACTGCCAACCTTTTGCTTATTAGCTGACACTATTTGCTGTAAAATTGCATCGACTTTCTCAGCACTGTAATGTCTCAGTGACATTAGGCAAGAATAACCAGTTCAAGTTTATTACCACATACTCAGCAAGTATTAGCAGATGGGGAAAAAGAACAACTCATCACGTTCTGGGAGAAAGGTTATTTCAGTACTTTGGAAATTCTTTTTGCTTCTTCTTTGACCTAGCAGAGTCTAAAAGCTGCCCAGTGGTTTCTTGGGAGTTTTGCAACTGAGTGGCAGATTCTGGCAGAATATCAAGAATATCAAGAATTCTTTCAACAAAAGCATTTTGGAAGCAACAAAGCAAAATAAATGAGCCAGCACTAGCTATATTCACTGTTGGTCAACAAAGGATAGGATTCAGTCCAAGTGAGAAGGTGAGCTTTGAACATTATTCTGACACAGAGGCAAGGTTACAGTGGAGCAGATCAAGGTGCACCTGGAGTTTCAAGCAGAGAAGACAAAGAACAACAAAGGGCAGAGTGTTATTATGATACTGCTGGCTCTTCCTATGTGTTGCATATGATGCTGAACAGCACAAGGGGAGTGCCACAGCTCTGATGTCAAATATTTTCTCCCAGAGGCGCAGCTGGCAAGTGATCACTCTGCTGTCCATGTACAAAACTGTGGATCGCTTTCAGTTTTACTGTGTAAAGGTGTCTTTGTCATCTACCCGCACTGGGGCCAGTCCTGTCAAGATAATAGGCTAGTTCCTAACAATACATAAAAATCTCTTAAACTCAGGGGTTTCTTTTAAGAGCTAGGAGAGGGATATCCTGTACTCCATTCTTCTTCTCCGCAGCACCTCTGGCCCCCTCCTTCCACTTCCACACCCTGAACTAGAGTTTGTAAACCTTTTGAACTATTTTAGAGAACGTACAGCTTGTCCTCCAAGACATAGGAAATTACATTTGATAGTCTATTGTATAAGAATTTCCATATTTAGAGGAAAATCAACAGATACAATCTCTAATTTCCTTTTCCCAATACTCCTCATATTTGCCTCCTCCTTCATTGCTCAATTTGGCTGCTGCCATTTTGTAGCACAAGCAGATGTCATCAATTAGGAGACAAATTCAAAACTAATGAGAGCTACGTTCAAAGAACCTGTCTGCTCCTCTGGCTGTCATTGGAGGGATGTATCTCTGCCCTGGCTCTCATCTGGCATTGTTGATGCTTTGTAGTGCTTTTAAATGTACTCCTGAAATAAGCTTCTGTTCAGCCTATGCAAAAATATTCCACGCATAAGGAAATCATGGCTTACTCATCTACAGATTCTGAAGCAGTCTTTCTGGTACTCAAAAGAACAGAGATCAGTGCTATTAGGCTGAAGCAACAGCTATACAGCTAGACTTTTTTTAACGTACAGTTTGTGTTTCTTATGGCCAACTCTTCGGTGTAATCCTAGCAGCAGTACTCATTAGGAAGGAACTCATTAGAAGGGACTCAGTAACATAGTAGCAAACCTCATTCACAGAAGGGATGGAGCAGAAAAGCTGCCAAGCAGAATAAAAAATGAAAGTTGTGTTTATAAATTAATGTAGTAGAAGTTAAGCTTTCTGACTTAGAAGTAAGTTTCCTAAGATCTTTAAAACTTTCTGGATAGTTTAAAAGCCAATAAAATAGTAAATTCAATAACTGAGTTTGGCTCTCAAATGAAATGAAGATAAATAGCTAAAATCTATCGTTTGCCCTTGAGACAATACTTCAGTGCTTTGTCAATTTAGAAAAGGAGTGGCACTCTTCATACGTAGTTTCCAAACTGCAGTGGGCTCCCTTTGGACCACCAAGATCCAGCCTCTACTCAGAGAAAAGTGCAGACTTTGACTTGGCCTTTCCTGGAACAAACACTCATTTCTGTACCTGTCACGCACATATTTTCCTTGGACAGAGTTTGTGGTGATGGTTCACTGTTAAGACAC